AAGGCCTTCAGACAGTTACACCACATGGTGGAAAAAAAGTCCTTGATAAGTTATTTAGATTTTTAAACAAACAAAAAGAACAAACTAACCACTATTCTCAGGTCTTTTCCTGGGAAAAGCCTATGGTCTTTCATGACGAAGCTTTCATCAAGTTGTTCCTTGATACTTACAAATAAACAGAACACCAATTTCATGTGCTGTCCTCTTCTGGACTTTGGTGCACCATGTTTCACATCCAGCTGGACACACACTGTCCTGTTTGGTAAAGTAACTGCTGTATATTCATCTGCCACTTGCACTGTGACTTTCTTTCAAAAAAATCACCTGTGTGTTGTAAAGGCCTGGAATAATGCTCAGCACATATGAAGACCTCAGTAGGGGTTTTAAAAATGGGTACTGAAATGGTAGAAATGCTTAGATTGTTTTGCAAAACACCTTAACACTCCTACCTTGAATCAGAGGGTAAATGAACTAATGTGAAGGTGGAAGGATATCTTTGGTGACATTCCATATTCAATATTTTTAATTGGCTTATGTGACCAGAGAGAAAGCATGTTCATTAAACTAACAGGTGTCATGAGTTAGAAGGAATTGCTAATAAACCAAAGACAGGGTTCAAAAAGATCTGGACGAACCAGAAGGATGAGCCAAAACCAGTAAGATGGGATTTAACAGGGAAATGGACAGCCCGGAATGTAGGTTAGAAAGAGCTGTTTGGCATATGTTGCAAAGGGAAAAGCTGTTTGGACAGAGGGTGGGAGTGGTAGCATTTGTGAAAAATTGGCCACAATGCAACAGTCCCTCAACAAGGAGGTGGTTAAATAATGTAACTGTCATTCTATGGGACATTGTACATTTTAAAAGAACAAATATTCATAGTGGTTTGGAAGGATTTCCAAGGCTTATTATGAAATAGGAAATGATCACAGACTAATGAGGTAAGAACGTAAGCCAAAGACGTCATGTGTGATTGTGTGTATCTGAATATGTGTATATGTATGCTCCTCAATTTCAGATGGGGTCACATTCTATAACCTCACTGTTAATTGAAAATATCATAAGTTGAGAATGTACTGAATCCACCCCACCTACCGAACGTCCTGGCTTTAGCACAGAGACACTGGAGTGGATGTTTCCACTAAACTGAAATCCAGTGCAAGGCCAAGTAGGAGCTGCTGTCTGTCCATCATGCAGTTAAACATCAAGACAGATCTGATCATGGAGTACCAGCTGGAGGAAAGATCTAAATTCAAAATTCAAAATATAGTTTCTACCTGATGTCTGTGACTTTTGCACCATTATAAACTAAACAGCAGAATGGAGTGCAGGCTGGAAGGACACACATCACCATGTGGAAACTGAGACTCTGGGCTGAGGTAAGATGAGACAGTTTCACTTGTGGCTTTGTATACTTCTCTGTTATTTAATTTGGTATGAAAATTTATTTGTACATTGTCTGTAACTACACAAATCACATTGTTTGCCTTTTCATTTAAAAATGAGCAAAGACAACAGGGCAGTTAAAATGCTCTGTTGCACGAAGCCCACCGAACAGCTTAGTCTTCCACAGTGAGAGATGCTGGAGGCTGCTGGTACCTGCCAGGCCCCATATGGCAGCTGCTTACAGTTGGGTGAGTGAATCAACCACCAGCCAGGCAATGGGGCCTGCATGGCTGGAGAGTAAGGTCCAGGCTGAACTTGACCTGTCCTCAGTGATGTGCCTGGTGCTCACATGGAAAACAGCCCTTTGTTGGGTCCACCAGATAAACACTGGGGAGTGGCATGGCAGGGCCACATCTCACAATCTCGTGTCCTCAGCTTTACACCCAGCCACCCCTTCTTTGGCCTTGTGTGTCTGGTCAAGCTGGACTCTGCCATCACCCATTCCTCTCCTTGCTATGCCGTTCCTTCAGGTCTCTTGGCAGAGTGACGTTCCCCACCAGACTACTTCCGCTTCCCTTTCTCTGGTCTTTCTTTCCTTTTTCTTGCTCACTCACGGAAAATAACAACAGCAGGATTTGTTGAAGCATGAAGGCTCTGATTTTGTTTTGTGTACGTCTCCAGATCTGGTGTCTAGTAGTTCCTAGCACTCAATATCTATCACCTGAAAAAAGAATCATTTGGAAGAGACATGCAGGACTGGAACAGAGTCTCTCAGCAAACCCTATCAACATGGGAAAAGACAGGGTCCCTGTGGAGCTCCTAGCTCACAAAGTTAAATGTGCTAGAGGAATGTAGAAGTCCAGTCCATATCCTTTGTGTTAGCCTTTGTACATGAGCTCCCTGAGCTATGCCTTCCCAACCCATCCCATAGGAAGAATCCAGATGGCCCACTCCTTTTTGCTGGTGTAAGGGCTAAAGGAGATAAAAGATGTTTGGCGACAAATATGGTACATGGTAGAGACTGTGGCCAGACACACTGATAACTCTCTTTGTTACAGTATTATTTTCTTGAACTAGCTGTTATCACCTTACTTTTTTTCTGCTGATCTCTCTCTGTCTCTCTCATCTATCTGGTCCTTTTGTTATTTTTAAGTTTTGAGACAGGTTTTCACTAAACTACTAAATTGCCCAGGCTCTGCTTGAATTTAAGATCCTCTTGCTCCAGTCTCACAAAGTGATAGGATTACAAGTGTTTGCCACCTCTTGCATCTCTGCTGCTGTTTCTGTATTCAGTCACTCTTTCCCTGACTGATATGGCCTATCCTTCCTGCCAGTATCATGTTGATTTTAGACTTTGTGTAAATGTGCATTTTTTCAAGCTTCAAACTCATGAAGCTTTGCAAGAGTCATTTGTATCTAAAATACCATCCATCACCTTTCCAGCTTCAGACCTATGTATGGAGTGGAAATCAGTTGACAATATCTTAGTGTTCTCCTGCAGCTTTTCCATAAATGAACTCATCAGATTTCTGCCAAGCTCGGGAAGGATTCAGGAAGCCCATTTTAACAGGAGGACACTGAGGGTGGGGTAACTGAGTGAACTCCCATCCACTTACCTTGACCCTCAGCTCTTGCTGGCTACTCGCTGGGGCATACCTTGGTCAGGGACAGTAACCAGGACCCACTCAGGCCCTGGATGCCTGTAGAACCTTCACGGGTCCTCCTAGTGGACCCGATCCCCTCCCTCCTGACCACTTGCGTGCCCAGCTTTTCACAGGTGCACGGCGACGAAGAGTTGTTTAATGCATGCTTTCCAGTTTCCTAATGAATGTTGTGTAGATAGCACTGTGTCCACTGGTCCTAAACTATAAAGCTCACCCATTCTAAGTGCTTAGCTGGCCAGAGGCTTTCTGAGCAGGTCTTTTCTTCCCTCTTACAAATTACAAATCAGTATCTCAGATTCAGGATTATCATTTTCAGGGTTCAAGCTTTAGTTTTTAGGCAAGTGGCTGAAACTTTCCACCAGTTCTATATAGTAGTTGATAGTGGTCTATAATAATGATACATGTATTTTTGGTGACAGGGATTGAACTCAGAACTAAGCTAAATCTCTGACCTGTCTATAATTATTTTGGCCTTGTCTTTTAATATATTGAGAATAGTAATCTTTGTAGTTTGTAGGAGTGAACCCAGCTACTTAAAATTTTGTGAGCTGTCTTAACAGGCTATGTGTGTGCAGGGAACCTTGGAAAGTAGGTAGAGACACTTTACTTCTTTTCTATTATGTGGGTGAAAATGGGCTTTTTTGTTTTATCCTTTTAAATTCACTTTAAAAGTACATGGTCCTCCATAAAAATACTCATAATTATTGGTGTGTAAAAGGCTTTGGTCTGACATGTTTGGTCAGAAGGGACATAGGCACGCAGCCCTCAGGGAGGGACAGGCTAAGCTGGCCTTTATTCCCCACGGAAGCTGGCACCAAAGAGAACAGAGCAGTTTCAGGAAACCAGCTTTGGTTACAGACTATTAGAAAATCCCATAGAAAGGACACTTTAAAAGTATTTTTCTCAAGCCTCTCCCAGTATTCAGCATGAATGAAATTTTAGTATTTTTATTTTTAAACATGAAGAGCATTCTAAAATGTCAGTTTCTGCTTTTCTCCAGGAGCCAAACTGATTGCAGAATAACCCCCTAGTTTAGCATTCCCCAGGACACGTTTCCAACCTGCACACCATGTAGTTCTTAGAATGGTGTGTGTCAAAACTTGTTAGTGATGGCTTTGGGCTGGGCATAGTCTTTCCCCTCCATTTCCTACCAGTTTTTCTGGTCACAGAAGCTTTTCTGTAACTGGGATAGAAGAATCCCAAAATGGTGGGCAGGTAAACTTTAATATGCCTGTGGGTGTGATGAGATATAAAATATGAATGTACATATAAACATGTACATAGATGAAATTAAAATTTGATGTTCTATTAGATTTTAAAGAATTATATGAATTAAATACGTTGTAATATTTTAAATGATACTTGAGACTGCAAAAATTATTTTAGTTGCAAGCATGTAATTAATGCTATTATTTATACAAAATGGTTTTACGATGCTATTCTTGGCAATAGAAAATGCTTCACTTCACTCAGGTATGTTGAGTACTACTTTTTGGAAAATATGTCAAGCGTAATAGTAATATTGGAGTTCAACTTGTCCTATAGAGCTGCTACCTATTGACCTAAACCCTATTTCTTTTTTCAAATGTCCATTAGTTATAGTTTCACTTTTGATGAAATTGGATGCTGAAGAGTAAAACAAACTTTCAAAGTAGAAAAAAACTCATCTTTAATCAACAGAATTTAGAATGTGATCTTTCCATCTTCTTTGAAAACAGTAAGTCCTCCCCCGCCCATCCCATTTTGTTTGGCACCATTAAACTGTACTATGGCAGTAAAATTCCCAACAACCTCTTTTAATCGTACTCCTTCTGATGCTGGCTACCATGTATCAATGGAGAGGGCAAATGCTGGAAAGAAGCAGGATGGTGGCGTGGAATCACCTCATTGCAGGCTGCAGTTGGTGGTAAATCCAGTCTGTCTTTCTGTCGTAAAACTACACTTACTGTTTTGAAATGAGGGTATTTGCTCCTCCTAAGCTGTCATGAGGAACTTCTGTTTGTCTCATTCAAGGGAGGCTGTGATGTTGCAAATTACTCATAACCAAAAGGCCATGTTTCAAATTAAATTAGAAGACCTAATCACAAAGCATTTACACATCACCATCTGAGACTTTGAAACAGGAGGAGTGTATGATGGTTTTCAGAACATCTTCAGATGAACCTGTCTCATTTTAATGTTTTCATTAAAAAAGTATAGCTGCAGTTGAAACATTAGGTAATTTTGTCCATTGTTAACAGATTACAACTTCTAAAGCAAATAAAAGAACCATGATTCTCTATGTTTACCTTTAACTGGGGAGAACCTGGCAGAGAGAGACCTAAGAAGGCACTTGAACTTTCTCGATATCTTCTAGAAGACCTGGCCTTTATCTCCTGTCCTCAGAGCAAGAGAAACAAATGGTGCGAGTCTTGGTTTCCAATATGAAAGTATCTTACACCAATAAGCCCTATCAGCACAGGGTCTCATTGGGACTAACTTTAGTAAAAATTAATACACTCATAGACTTAGCCTTTGTTCTGGGGCTCTGGGAGCATGGAACCCCTTTGCAGGCACTGGAATTTCATGGGAGGTCTAGGGGGATTTAAACGGTTTTATTTAAGATGGGAATCTGTCTCGACAAACACTGGTTACTGAGTCTTGACAGCTAAGCACAGGTTGCTTCATCCTCTTATCTATAGCTCGGCAAGGCTAAACCGGTTTTTTGGACTTTCTAGAACAATATCTAATGAACAAATAACACAATTCTGTGATGTTTAGCAGGATGCAAATGCCGGACACTATAATCATGAACACAGTAAAGACAGTCTTTTCTGTGGGCCTGGAAATAAAGCAGTCCACCGTATTGGGACAAGGCCAAGCACTACATTTCACCAGGCGCTGCATGAAGAAGCCATTGTACATGATGTAAAAGACGTACATGAAGGCACCTTCAAAGATGACCCTGAAGAAGACACTGCTGGTGTAGGTCCACCACAGGGACCCTTCTATACGGACCTTCTCCCTTTTGATCTCTTCAATGTCCTTAAATTCACTCTTCATCTCTCCCTTAATGAACTTCCTTTTCTTCTCATGTCTCCGGTAGGCAACGTGCATGGCCACCAGGAGTGCTGGAGTGGACACGAAGATCAGCTGCAAGGCCCACAGACGGATGTGAGAGATGGGGAAGTAGTGGTCATAGCAAACATTTTTGCAGCCAGGCTGGAGGGTATTACAGATAAAATCAGCTTGCTCGTCTCCCCACACCTCCTTGGCGGCAACCACGAGGATCATGATGCGAAAAATGAAAAGGACCGTGAGCCAGATTTTCCCAATACTGGTGGAGTATTTGTTAACACCCCCCAGGATAGTATGTAGTGCGCCCCAATCCATCCTGTCCGCTTGGTGGTTGGTACTGGAAAAGACAAAGGAACAATACAGCAGTCATTAGTTTGGACAGAACGCAGGTGATTTCCCTGAATCTGGGTAAGAAAGTACTCTTACATCTCTTCCTGAGCCAAGACTGACTCTTATATAACCTCCTACAAATCCAAAAATGGTAGTAAGTGGATTTGTTTACTTTGCTGAAGTTTATGGAAAGTATCATAAATAGTGTTAGAAGATATTCACGTCATCATGAAATAGACTCTATTTCCAGCCAAACCAAAAATATTTGCAGTTTTTTCTTTTCATTCAGTTGTACTGTACATACTTTAAAGAAAATAACTGAACTGGTCTTTTGAGGTAGTTCATATTTGACCTGGGAATGTTTTAAAGTTAATGCTAAGAGGATTTGATAAAAGTTTTAATAAAGGTATTTTATATTGAGTATAAAAATGTCCTTCCAACAAGTCAACTTTTGAAAGCAAAATTTAGAATTAGTGAAAGCTGTTCCATTGGTAACCAAGATATTATTTAAGTTATACAATCAACTAATAAAAGGCCTTAGTTGGAGCATTAAAAAAACCAGAGTTTAGGGGCTGGGGATTCATCTCAGTGGTGCCGCTGCTTGCCTCCCAAGTGCAAGGTCCCGAGTTCAATTCCTGGTACCAAAACACCAAAACAAACAAACAAACAAAAAACCCAGAGTTTGCCATAGGATTAAGTGTATAGCTCCCAAACTACCTTGAATAGGTTTCTGTGTGTTCTCTAATAAATAGTACCTCATTCACCTTAGTAAAATTGGGGTATAAATGTCTATCAGAGTGAAGTACTTATTAGCTTAAAAGCACACATGAGTTCTGGCGACCACTGAGTCCTGTACTCATTGCCCATGGGTATTTCTAACTTCTCAGTCAGTCACTGGCCAGCCAAGCTCCACCACTGCTGCGGCTCACAACCAGTGCTGGCTGGGTGAAACGCTCCTCGTTGAGAGTGTTTGTGCATGGAAGATCCTCCACCAGCCAGTGGCCCTGTGTTTCATCCAGTACAGGAACTGTCCCCGCTGATTCACAGCTACGCCCTGTCTGTCACAATCAGCCCCTCTTCTAAACAGGATTTCATGCTCCCCACTGTCCTGATGAGTCACGTATTATATCCATCCCTTCTAAGTTGTAATGAACCTTCTTTCTCTTACTTAAAAGCATCCTGCTCTCCTCATTTTAGGCAAGTTGCATCCTGTTTCCTACTGAGCTGAGGTAGGCTCAGATCAAATGCCTCTTATTACTACAGTTGCTGAATCCTCGAAAAGGCGACCTTGGTGTGAGGAAGTAGGAGAGCCATGTGCACACAACTTAAATCAGACTGAGATACACTGGTGAAACATTTATCCCCATTTAATAGCTCAAAAAATAAAAAACACCACTGGAAGTAAGAGTGGTTTAGCCCAGGTTTGGCCTTGACCCATTTACGCCAGACTGTCCAGGAGGCCCTTAGGTGAAGAATCTCACCATTCAATTTAGTGCTGCCTGCAACAGCAAATCCACTGAAGAAAGTAAATGTTCAGCTTTTAACAGAATCACCTCACAGAATTAGACCTTCAGTTCTTCATGGGCGCTTCTTAAATAAAAGACAGGAACTTTGCAGAAATAAGCAGTCACACACCTGGCCAATATGGGAGTGGAGGTGTGGTGGGACTGATGCCTCTGCCTTCTCTATGGCATCCAACACAGGTCCTGTGCTCTTCACAGGCCAGTCTAGCCACCAACAGTTTTGGAAAATATAGTTCAAGAAGCCCCCTACATTGCCGTTTTTGAAAGCCTGAGGTGTCTTTTGGGTCCCACTTTGCTGCCCAGGCTTGAACTCCTAGGCTCAGACAATCCTCCTACCTGTACCTCCCCAGCTAATGGGACACCATCACACCCTACTTGCAACTAAGTGTTTCAAACGTCCTTTAGGGAAGAAGAATAAATTAAAACTGGATCTCTCATCAGGATAGGAATAAGAGGCTCAGATGGACCAAACGCAGGGTTCAATTGTTCTCAGTATTTAAATCATTGAGGAGTGGCTCTCCTGGCCTCCTGACCCTGTGCTGTCATTCACTGGTTCCCACCTGGCCAGGTCACTGCAATCCTTGGAGCACTGCCAGAGTGAGTGGAGGAGCCTGACTGATTCTTCTGGGAAAGCGCTGCTGGGTGAGTCCAGTAAAGGACTTTACTTTGGCACCCTTACCTTATGGTGGTCCCACGCTGCTGCCCACCCTTCTCTCACATCCCGGATTACCACTCACTGAGCACCAGCATTTTAAAATGGACTCAAAGGGCAAATGAGGATGAACATCTCAAGGCAGTCCCAGGTAAATGGTCTTCCAGCCCTGCTTTCAGAAGCTGGAAAAAGTGAGCCTCAAGCTTATCCCCCTCCAGCGAGGGGGACAGAGGGGCGACGCCGCAGTCCTACAAGGCTCTTCTCAACTGACACCCCATCTGTAAGCAGGGGTCCTGCGTGCTTTCCTTCCTCTCAGAGCTCAGCACCTGCAGGTGTCTAGGAGTTGAAGAAGCAAAGCAGCCAAAATCTGGCCCCAGAATGGAGTCGGGTCTCCCGCGCCCCGGGAGCTGTGTTCGCCCCGACTTTACCTCAGCGCCTTTCTTGGAGAGGCAGCGTGAGGAGGTAAAGGTCAGTTTCCTCCCAGGAGGCTTCCTGCTAAACTTTCGGTTAATTTAAAACTTTTGGTAGCTGCAGATAAAGCCGCCAGGCCGCTGGGCGAAAATGCCCCTGAAGGAACTTGGGGGGGGAGGCGGCCCCACGCCAAGCCCAGCGGTGCCGCGCGTCCCTTCCCCAGCGCGCGCCCCAAGTCCGGCAGGCGCAGACCCCTCGGGCTACGGA